CTTAAAACGGTAATAAAGGAGTATGTGCCTTGCCTTACATGGTGAAATGCATCTTACTACTAACACATTAAAAAATAGCCAACTGTATTTAGATTGCATTGGTTTCCTGTGGAATTTTGAACATTAAAAAAAAATTCTGTGAGAAGGGGCCATGCAGGGTCCTGGGCCCAAAGCAGCTGAGAGCTTCTAGGTAGAATGAGGCCCAGTGAATGATGGTCTCTTCCTGCCTCCAGCTGGTCCCTGTGTCTTCAAGGTCAGACTCCTGGTGGGTTAGTGTGGATCTGATGCTTAGGGGCTTGGCCAAGGTCTTTGGGAAATTCAGACCACCTGGTGCTGAACGCCAGGGCCTGGCTGCTCACTCTTCTGCTTCTTGCTTGTGTGTTCACTCCCTCCTCACCCTGCCCCACTGACCAAACTGCCCCTAGACCAGGGATACACTCTCCTCCCTAGCATTAGTGCCTCAGTGTAGCTGACTAGCAGAGATGAGGTCTCAGGAAATGAGATGGCCACTCTGGTGTAGTCCAGGCACAGTCACCATCTTTAGTGCCCACCTGTGGGGTCAGGAAGAGGTGCTCTCCTCGGAGCCTAGTCAGGCTGAGCAGTGATAGGAATCAGCACCCTGACACCAAGAGCTGCGCTCAGCAGCCTCATGACCCACATCGGATGGGCGGGGCTTGCTCTGGGCCTGGGATACAGGGATGCTGTATTTTGCATGGCCCTGGTATTTCTGTGCATGTGAAGAAATACCACTTACCTGTGAACCATTGCCCATAAATGAGGCTGTTTCTGTTGTGGCGAGACATGCAGGAGTCGGATCGGAAACAAGTGCTTTGGCTTTCTTTCCAGCTTTGGCCTTCCATGGGAGGCACAGCGAGTTATGCAGTGACTGCAGGACTTCTCCAGGTGCACTGGTGCTGGGGTTGGGGATGGGGGTAGGGTGATAGGTCGAGCCTTGTGGATAGGGAAGCGTGGTTCCCTGGAGTCTGCTACTGGTAACCCCCTTCCCAGCAGTGGAAGCCCATGATCTCACAAAGTCCAAAGCCATTCTTGAACATTTAAAGCTAATCTTTTGCTGGTTATGCTGGATAGCTTTAGTTGTCTACTTTACATACCTGGGTGGAGGGAGCCTCACTTGGGGAATTGTCTCCATATGCCTATGGCCATTTCTGTGGGGTATTTTCTTGATTGTTGAGTGATGTGGGAGGGCCCAGCCCACTGTGGACAGTGCCACCCATGGGCAGGTTGTTCTGTATTGTATAAGAAAGCAGGCTGAACACGGACCATAGGAGCAAGCCAGTAAGCAGCGTTCCTCCATGGCCTGTGCTTCAGCTCCTGCCTCCAGGTTCCTGCCCTGAGTTTCTACCTTGGGCTCCCTCAGTGATGAACTGTGACCTGGGAGGTATAAGCCGAATAAGCCCTTTCCTTCCCAAGTTGGTATTGGTCAGAGTGTTTTGTCAGCAATGAAGAAACAAACTAGAACGCTGGTCGTAGGAAAGGAGAATAGGAATAATTGAATCTTGGCAGGGAAAAGGGTAAAGTTAACAGCACAGTAGTAACACTGGCCCTGTGCTCACCTGGGCCTGGTCTGCACAAGTGTTTCACATACGCTTACTGAGCTCTGGTGGAAAGCGGCTTCGGGGATGTGTAAGAGCCCAAGTCCTAGAAGACTGCCTGGGTTTGAACTCCTGGGTTCTCAGTTTCCCAGAAATCTGAGTAGTCTCTACCTCCTGGGGCTGTAGTGGCAAGGAAATAGCTTAGATATGTGATGCTTAGCCAGCACTTCACACAGGATTGCTGCTGCCCCAGGTGTGTGGAGAGGCACTTTGTGCCACCAGATGGGGCTGATGAAGAAGGTGGGGCTGACAGCACCCCGTTTTTAACATTTGTTTATTTGCTGTGTGTATATGTATTTGGGCACACGTGTGCCATGATATACACATGTGGAAGTCAAAGGATAATTTGTGAGAATCAGCTCTCTCCTTCTACCGTGTGGGTCCCAGGGTTTGAACTTAGGTAACGACTTAGACTTGACAGTAAGTGCCTTTACCTGCTGATCCCTCTTGGGGGCCCCTGGCAGAATCCTTTGAGAGGAAGCAGGATCCATCTGGTAGCCAGTCCAGGAAGAGGGCAATGCTCAGCAGGTTGGGGTCCAGGCCTGGTGCCCCTGTCTCCACAGAGAGCCAGGTATATGCAGATAGGAGCAAAGTGTGCATCAGCCCTGGGCTGGGCTGGTTTGAGGCTGCTGCAGAGCCCTGGAGCTGGGATTACTTGTCATCTGTCTTGGGACCCCCATTCTGGAGTTCCTGGGCTTCCACCCTTGTTTCTTTTGGAAGCCCTGTCCACACTGTACCCAGGGGGCTTCCCTTGGCCCTGGGACTGCTCCTCCCTCTCTGCCGCATTTCTTCTGGAGTTATTAACATTCCCCTTCTCTGCTTTTCATGCTATTTTCTCGATCACTCCTAAGGAAATGCTGAACAGGTCAGGTGCCATCCCATCACGAGGCAGACAGAGCTCAGGGTACCCTTCCTTATTGTGCTGCAGCTTAAACTCTCTAGAATCCACATCTCTGGACTGTACCTGTCATTGTCCAGTTCAGAACACTCCCATCACCTCAGAAGCGCCCTGTGTCTGTGTGTAGTCAGTCATCTCCTACCATGGGCATTTTTTTTCTAGAAATTTGCCTTTTCTGGGCATATCCTAAAATGGTGTGGCACGGCACATTCCTTCACATCTGATTCTTCCCCTATCGTAATGTTTCTGAGGTTTGATCATGTTGTGGCTTGTGCTAGTTAGTGCTCATTTCTTTTTATAGCCGAGTAGTATTACACTGTGGCTAGGTCATGCTGTTTAGGCGTTCACTGGATGACAGACATTTGAACTGTTTCCAGCTTGTGCTTTCGGGAATGATACTGAGACAGACATCTCCTGCATATTGGTGTGTGCATGAATGTGTCCATCTTTTTTTGGTTGATGCTTTGGAACCGAAGTGCTGGGTTGTTTTAACTGTTCAAGAAGCTGCCAAATTACTTTCCATTTCACCTTCTCCTGAGTAGTGTATCAGCGTCTCAAGCCCCCATCCTTACCCACACGTGGTCTGGTCTGGTTTTATTTTGTTTTTGTTGTTTTAATTCTGACCCTGCTAGTGGATGTGAAGCAGTGTCTTTGTGGTTTGGGTTTGGGTTCCCCTGGGGCATTTCCCGTATTAGCCATTTGTATGATTTTTTGTTTTTGGTGTTTTGTGTGTGAATCATCTATTTGAATTTTTCTGTTCAGCTGCTTTTAAACCAACACCAACCATGGATTGGTGGTGACAGGGAACTGGCTTCTCCTGGGGTAAAAGTGATTAAGAGGTGAGAACTCTGTTAACCCCTTTCCTTCCTTAAGAGAGGATTTTGGCCTCTTTAGCTCAGCTTTTCCTCTTTATGTAGCCCCTTCTTATTTTAAAAAATCTCCCCTTTTTATTATGAAATTCACAGAGTACCTGGAGAAGCTGAAGTTTGAGAGTTCCCACTTTGCCTCGTCCCCTTCAGCTCCACGCATGTGTCTGCCCTCTTTCTCTCCACCCCGCATGTGAAAGTGAACCACTCAGGGCATCACCTGTGGATAAGGGCTGCTGACACCAGACTGCCTGGAAGAATCAGCAGTAGCTCAGGGTGTCACCCAGCACCCACGCAGCTTTCCCAAGGGGACTTCCGTATGTGGTTTATGGGTTCTTGTGAGTGTGCTGGGGAAGAGGCAGGTGGCACAGAGCTGAGTGTGCTGGTGGAAAGGGCCACGCTCATCCTGGAGCAGCTGTGTGCCAGGGTGAGCACAGAGCCCTGTTGGCACTCCATGTGCCGACAGGAGCTGGAGGTCTTGACACTCCTTTGGCTGTTGTGGCAGGGCCAGGACTGAGGGGCTTGGGAGAACAACTGAGGCGAGGCACTTTCCATCTTTCTCATTGTCTTTCCCAGGACTCTGGGCTGATTTTCCTCGTTTACAAGATTCACCGTGCTCCCAGTCAAGTGTGTCATCTTTCTCCACAGATCCCTACCCCCTCTGCTCCCTCCTGGGGAAGGATGCACTGCATCTTGCCACAAGCTACCTGGTCCTGGTTCAGTTGCTCTCACTTGCCCTGTGCCAGTTTCTGGACCCTGGCCTTGCTGGCCCAGTCCGTGTCCCCTCCACTTCATTCCCCGCTGGCGCTTGAGCTCAGAAGCATCCCTCATCTTTCGTGTTGGTGACTATGATCGGCTTCTGAATTGTGCTCGCATCACCCCTGCTCTCCTGCTGAAATGCTGTCAGTGGTTTTCTGTGTTCTGGGAGGTGACACATGATCTCTGGAGTGAGTGTACAAGGGAGGTCTAGGCAGAATAACCAGACATGACCTTTAAGGGAGTCTTGAGTGACAACATGGTGGGACAGTATAAGCAGAAGCACCAGAGTGCTTTTGTAAGTGTGATTGACTTACCCTTCTGTGCCTCAGTTTCCCCCTATGGAAAATGAGCAAAAAAGCAAGACTTCCCTCAGGATGATGGGAGGGGGGAAGGTGAGTTAGAGGAGTCGTGGCATGTGGTGAGTTGTGTGGGGTCAGGTGTGATGACACAGTGGTGTCTTGGGTAGCACAACTGGCTTGTCTTTTTCACTGGCCTTTGCCTTCATACAGAGTTCAAACTCTGGGGCCTGTGAGGGCCAGGCCTGTCCTGAGACAGTTGCACAGTGGGACCCAACAAGCCTCTGCAAGAGGCAGGATGGTCAGGTGGATTTGGACCCATGGCTGCCCCCTGACAAGGAGTCAGAATTCTCTATGAAATTGTCCAGCTAGATACCAGCAATTAATCTAGACATAACAATCCTCTGTACAAACACCACGCACTACCTCTATGGGCCAGCCTGAGCTTGAAGTCACCAATTTGGACTTTTCTTTTTGGATGTTCTGGGTGATCTGCTGGAGGCTGGCACAGCCGCCAGGGTGGGACTGTGGGTTTCGAGCTGGTTTTTATGGCCCCTTTGCCTTGCAGGACCCCTCAAGCAGGTTATGTCACCGGCAGAGGCTGCGCCGACGCTCCCTGCGGCCTGGAGACTATGTACAAGAAGAATGGTCTGATGGCTAGCGTGTTGGTCACCTCCGCCGCTCCACAGGTACAGAGGTTGTGGGTGGGTAGTGGGAGGGAGGCACCATGGCATCAGGCCTCAGCCATGAATACCCGCCTTCTTAGGGCTCCTGGCCTGCCACACCAGGTGCAAGGTTTGGGAGCCAGTCAGCCCTGTAGGTCAGGGTGTTTTTTGAAGTTTCTCTCTTCAAAGAAAAACAAATACATGCCTAGTCCAGCCATGGCAAGTGCCACATTCCATTTTGGTGGCAAAAAGGGATCAGACCTTTCCCAGGAAAAGCCACTGCTAACTATAAATAAGCTGAACATTCAAGAATGAAGTCAGGCAGAAGCCAGTCCAACTGGCCAGTGTGCTTATTTACATTGCTTCTTAGGAAATGGTTGTAAGGACTGGTGGTCTAGTGGCCTGGGCAGGGCCTCTGTGTGGGGCATGGGATTTGCTTTCCAAGCTCAGTAATGGAACAGATACATGGTAGGAGGGTGTCATCTGAGACTGGTGCCGCTGTGTCTGGGTATAGTGCCGGCTCCTGCGACATGCTGGTGAGGCAAGGTTGGGCCTGAGCTCCCTACATGGGTTTTGAGATGATCTTAGATTAACTAGTCAGAGAGGCATAGGAACCAGTTTCCTATCAACCTTTGGAAAAATTCCTTGTTCTGATCTCTAGTCTTGACATCAAATTTGTGGGTACCTTTTTAAAAAAATATTTTATTTATTTTTATTTTATGTGTACGAATGTATTGCCTGCATGTGTGCGACTGTGTCATGCAATGCCACAGAGGTCATAAGAGGGCTTCAGATTCCCCTGGAACTGGAGTTAAAGACAGTTTGTAGCTGCCATGTGGGTGCTGGGAATTGAACCTGGGCCCTCTGCAAGAGCAGTCAGTGCTCTTAACTGCTGAGCCCTCTCTCCAGCCCCCAAATTTGTGGGTACCTTTTAAGATTTATTTTATTTTACTTTGAAGATTTTTGTGTGTATGTGTGTGTGTGTGTCTATGTGTAGGTTTGTGCACTTGAGTGCAGTGCCTGTGGAGGCCAGAAAAGGGCATCATATCCCTTTGGAACTGGTGTTACAGGTGGCTGTAAGTCTCCTGTCATGGGTGCCGGGAACCAAACTTGGGTCATCTGGAAAAGCAGTATGTGCTCTTAACCATGGAACCCTGTGAACGCCTTTAAAATCCCCTGGGGGACCAGTGTAGTCTAGATAAGTTGTTGCATCGTCTTTGTCACCATGATCACCACTGTCACAAGCAAACATGTTTGGGGCAATTTTTGATTCAATAAGTCCCCATAGGTGGGAGTTTGGGGCAGGAATGTTCTAAGACCTGACATCCCAGGAACACCCTGTGGTAACTGGAGGAACCAGGCCTCTGTCTCTACCTATAATTTGCAATCCATTTAGTGTAAAACTTCCTTCTTCTCTGGGGTGTGTGTATGTAGATGTGTGTACTCACATACTTCTCTGTATATGTTCAGCCCTCCGTATCTATGAGCCATGCATCAGAAATACTCAATAAGAAGTTGCACCTGTACTGAACATGTGCAGACTTTCTTCTTGTTCTCTAAACAATACAGTAACAGTTTGCACAGCATTCCCATTGGGTGAGGTATTTGTTGTCCAGAGAAGACTCAAAATATGCAGGAGGACACGCACAGGTTCTGTGCTAGGTGTGTTACAGACATTTGCATACCTGCAGAGTCTGGTGTCCTCCAGGGCTCTGGATCCAGTCCTCCATGGGTACTGAGAGCTGGTACGCACATGGTAAGTCCCATAGCATGTGCAGGGTTAATAAATGTATATATGTAAACCGAAGTGCTTAGCAACCCCAGGTGACTGAATGACACATTTTTACCCATACACACCCATACCCACTGTATTTTGGGTATATTTTTGTTTGCATGTTCCCAGGGCTTTTTCTCAGGCACACACCATTTTATGCCAGCTTGTGAATGAGGCACAGAGAGGTAAAGACATTGTGGCTCCCATGTCGGGCAGGTAGATGGGTTCAAACCCACTGTCTCTGACTCTAGAGTTGGTGTCCTTAACCATAACACTTCTCTCCTTGAGGAGACCTGCCCCTCCAGCTTGGCTGAACTGCTGTCTTGAAGAGGGCAGAGAGTGCAGAGCGACTTCTGAATCTTCATCTGCACATGGAATTGGGAGACGGGCTGCGTGACAGTTCCAGGCACATCAGGAGCAGTTGTGTGATTCTTTAGCTTTATTCAGAGCAGATTATCCTCAGGGGAGAATGCCTTGCCACATGTGGAACTTTTAAAATGCCATGTGGAGCCCGCCCCAGGCCTTCTAGCCAGCCTCTCCCAGAGAGGGGAGTTGGTAGTTTCTGCCAGTTGTTTTTGGTTCATTTAGGTAACCCATGCTGCTACCCTGGGACATGGGATTTAATATTACAATTTTACACATGATGAGACATGGTAAAATGAAGTCACTGCCTGAGCCAGCAGCAGCTGGTGTACGGCTGGCGTTCTATCCAGCCCGCCTGTAGCCTGTGTGGTCTTTGCCGCTCAGTGCCATGTGGAGCCTCTGCTGCAGAACTCTCCACCACCCAGGCCTGGAGGCAGCTGGTTGTATTTCTGCTCCTCTCTAACCTCACACGGTCAGTTGTAATTATTGGTTTTCTTCATTGATCTAAAAACAGCCTAGTTCCCACTAAGAGTGCAACCTTTTTCCAGATATAGCCATTTTGGAAAGAGTGAAATAAAGAGGAATTAATGAAAGCAGATTCCCACACTCCCACCCCAAGATGGTGAGATGAGTGGAAACCACAAACTCCTTTTTCATGAGTTGAACCGAATAAAGTCCTTTATGAGTGGGGCACAGCTTTGGGTGATAAGCCTGATGGGTTCCCCAAAGTGGAGTTTGATGAGATGAAGCAAATTAAAGAGAAGGTAAGCCCAGCATTCTGGGTCAGCACAGCACTGAGTTTCATGAGCTCTGTCATTTGTGGGGAGTCTCCCTTTGCTTCTTTGTGGGAGCCCCTGTCCTTACATGCAGGACTTGGTGTCCCTTACACCAGGGACTCTGTTTCCTGGCAGTCTCCAAAGCTCGGCAGTTGTCTCTCAGCTCATGAGTCAGCACGCTTCCAGTCCCCGGTCACCCATGTGAATCAAGCCTCCAGAGCAAGGTTTACAATTTCTGTAATGATTTCTTGCACCAACTTCAGCCATGAAAAGGAAAGGTGAATTGAGTTCATGTTCAAAAGTCAACAGAATAGGGGCTACAGAGGTGCTCAGCAGTTAAGAGTGCTTGCTGCTCTTCTAGTCGAATTTGGTTCTCAGCACCCATGTGGGGGAGTTTACAGTTGCCTATAATTGCAGTTCTAGGGGATCTAATGCCCTGAATGGGCACCTGCACCCATGCATAAGCATGCATACACAGGCACACACACGTAAGCATGCATACACAGGCACACATTCGTAAATAAATCTTCAAAAAATGAAAGAAAGCCAACACAATGGGTATTCTCCTCGTGCTTCTGAGACTGGGGCCTGTTCTCTCTGTGAGAGAGCTGGGCTGGGGCTTTTCTTTCTCTTTTTGGTGTCTGGGATAGACCTGGGCTTCAAGCATGCTGGGCAAGTGTTCTATACTCAGCTACACCCCAGCTCTGTCCCCTGACTCTTTCCTGCTATTATACTGCTGGCCAGAAGCAGGGGTAGTGGTCCAAGGTCATGCTTTGGTGGGTTCACATTCTGGCTTTCAACTTTACAGGGCAGAAACCTTGGAGAAGTAACATTGATTCCACTGGCATATCTGTAAAATGGGACTAGCAGGGTGTACACAGAGAACACTTGGGAACTAAGTCAGAAGGTGTGTAAAGGGCTGTGTGGGGTGATGCACCCAGCATGGAGCAAAGTAATAATATGAGCCCATCACTCTTGCATCCTTCATTCCGAGGGGATTTGGGAGAGGGGACAGTGACCTCAGATCACTCAGGTGGCATGTCTCCGCCTTCTCCACAGGGCAGCAGCTCAGACTCTCTGGAGGGCCAGAGCTGCGACTATGCCAGCAAGAGCTACGACGCCGTCATCTTCGATGTTTTGAAAGTGACTCCCGAGGAGTTTGCCGTAAGTGACATGGAGCTGATGGGGGTGGTGGCACTGTGACAGGGTGCTGGAGGGAGTCACCGCTCTGGGCTTTCTGCTCAGGTTAGGAACACCCCATATACCCACATCAGGAGAGTGAATGACAGGTAAAGGATGATTCAGTGCTGCACTGAAAAGGATGCTTTTGATTTGGAATCAGCATCTCGGAGGGTACACAAGGTGCATTTGAAATGTGAGGGAAGGCACGGGGTTTAGCACAGTTTATGGAGAATAATGCCAGTTTCAAAAGCACACAGACACATTTGGAAAAGGGCTAGAGCTGGTGTTTACATTCCACAAAGCCAGGTATGCCCCTTGCTGTGTTTTTGAATGTGGATTCCGCGTGTATAATTTAATTTTTCTTCTTTTTCTTTACCTACCTGTACTTTCTACATTTTTATAAATTGTCTCCTGCAGTGATAGACAATATTATTTTTCTCCAGCTTGTGTGTCGCTTCTGGTCTAACAAGGGACACAGAGCTGACCTCTCTTTTGCCATAAGGACTCTTTCCTCCTTTGGGGTTTTGTGGCTGGAAGGGATGGTATTGGCTCTGGGGTAACCTCAAGCCTGATTCTAAGCACTGTTCTAGGGTCATGTTTCTCTGCAGAACCCACCATCTCTACTTCTTCCTGGTCCCCATGGTGTGGATGCTCCATGCCTGCCAAGGGCCACCCCAGGGCCAGCCATACTTTGCAGCTGTGATGTCACGGGCTTCCATGTTCATTATCTGAAGCTGTTCAGGGCCTTCAGTGTATCTGAGGAATCTGCTTAAAACCTCATTCTGGGGCTAGAGAGATGGTTCAGTGGTTAAGAGTGTGTACTGCTTTAGCAGAGGACCCGAGTTCAGTTCCCAGCTCATAGCTTTCTGTGATTCCACCCCCAGAGGAGCCGATGCTTCTGCCTTCTGTAGACACCTAGACATAAACCCACACGTACACACATAATTAAGAATAAAATAAATCTTAAAAAAAAACCCCAACTCATTCCTCAGTTCCTCCCTCCAGCTTTGCCCCCAGGGTCTGACCATACCCCTCCTCCCCTTCCCTCCCCTCCTCTACGTCTGCTCTGGCCACCTTTCCTCCCCTCTCTCGTAGCAGCTCCTGCCTCTGCCCAGCTATGCACTCAGTCTCTGTTCACGTCAGTCCTCAGCAAGGGCTTGCCCAGGGCTAATGTGGCCCTTGTCTCTCCCCCTCCCCCCTCAGTTGTCTCTCCCCC